TAACAGGCTGCTGTAATGGTCTCCCTTCCAGATATTAGACAAAGACATTTTGAAGCCAGGAAACCTTTGTCCTGAAAGCACTGGCCATACGAACACTGGTGAGACTAAGTCAGAGCCAGAAGCACTCTAACTGGCAGTACTGCATGGCTGAGTAGGAGTCAGGCCCCAGCTGCAGAAGCCTCTACCGCAGCATTTGCTGTGCTGGACATGCAACCCAGCCCCAGGAACCTGCCATAGCCACTGGAAGGACTAGCCAGAGCAGCAGCACATACGGGCAGAAAAATGGGATGTTGAATCTCATGTTTCTGGATGGACATCTTCAGATCTCTGTGAAGAAGTCTCCCTACTAAATAGAGGATTTTGACATACCACAAGTATAGGTACAGAATCCTATACCTGGGCACGAGAAACAATTCATACCAGTATTTACTACTTATAAAATCTGCAGCCTGTCATTTAGTCCCACTTCAGTGTCTATGTCATCCTTTCACCTGGGTGTTGGAGTCAACAAGCACAACCTGGAAAACAGTTGTTTGCATAGTGCCTAACAACTACGCTTGGGGCCATGACTAGAGTATTCAGATACTCCCTCCAATCTGATAAATACCAATCTATCAGTATAGTATTGTTCCACAGAGTATATCTGCCAGTTCTTCAGTTAAGTATTTCCAAGAAGACTAAGCAGATAGGATTCTGCTGTTTCTCACAAAAAGCTATTCTCAGAATAACATGCCTCACTATTTCTGTTATATTGCCACTTACTGCAGTATTGTTCAATTTAAATTTCTAACCACATAGCCAGCCAATAATATATGTATGTACAAGACATCAACTGTGTATTTTGCATACCTACACTGGATATACTGCGAGACAGCTCTAGGTGATTTTCATGGAAAAAAGTCTTCGCAAAAAGTTGTGTAACACTACTGCATAAGTGCTATCTGAGACAGCCCCAGAACTGCAGAATTACAATAAGACACCTCTACACTCTGAACTTTACCCAGACTTTAGTTTTAAGCTCCCATAAAAAATTCCAGTGAAGATCTACATCAAACAATTCAATTAAAAATTATACTAGTGACATAGTGACAAGTTTATTAGAGGTCTACATACTGCACCACTAATTTAAATTCTGGCTGACCAAATTTTTACGCCAACATAACTCCATCAGTTAAAGGTGATGTTATTTTTTTAATATGCTTTTACCACTGCTTGCCAAAATAATATTAACTGCAGGTGTAAGGTATCTTTATACCAATAAGTGCGCACCAGTAGATCTTAGACTCCCTCCTACACCCTTCCTAAGACAATACAGCTGCTATAGAAAAGTACTACTTTAAACTGTACAGGTGTAGCTAAAGCTGTACAACTTTTGTATACAGAGAAGGCCTATAAGTATGACTACAAACATGTTCCCTCGGGTGTATAAGACACTGTAAGGACCCCCCTTATTTAAAGCTAAGGAATGTCTTTTTCTTTTGTTTAGGTGAACAAAAATAGCAAATTTTGTTCCAACCACTGCGGTTTCCCTCTAGAAGAGGGAATGGACAAAGTCAGTTGATTTGAGAGTCCACAGCAAATCCTCAGCTATAAGGAAAAAAACATTATGGAGAAAATGCAAGATAGATAGGTCCTCCTTTACAACACTTATATGAATAGAAGCCTTACCAAAACCACATAACAAGTATCCAGAAATTCTCCAACATAATCCCAGTTCAAGAAGGATCAACATATCCGCGTTTCCCAGTGAACTGACAGTGCTTAATGGGCCCTGAGTCGCCTGAAATCCTGCAAAAAACTCCAAGTAGCCCCTGGTTTCTGGCAGGCCCCTGCACTCTCTCCAGTCACTGCTGCTCACCACCCCACACAGGGCACAGACCAAGCTGCCCACAAAACGCCTCTATTGCCCCTGTCCCGTACAAAGGTGCCTGAACCCTTATACAAAGTGCAAGCGAGCACTTCCTCGCCGTGAGGAGGCCTGACAGAGCCCTGCGGGCCGAAAGCCTCCGCGAGATCCCGGCGCCCCCC